TCAGGGGTCAGTTTATACTGGGGTTTTAAGCTCTGATTTGTTGAACATTTGGTAGTAGTCCGATTTAATAATGTTGCAGTAGGTATCATTAAATTTGATTTGTCCGCTTAACAAATGAAGCAAAATGAACGTAACATATGTGATATTTTGTTTTGTTTTCCAAGTTATACTGAACTAACAGTATAACGTAATAAATCAAAACAAACTACCCATTCTGGTACAAGTTAGGTGACTATGACTACGACTACGATAGAGTGTATATTATTCCTTATCCTTACTATACTATACTAATATTATAAATCTGAAAGTGAGTTTGTTTGTTTGTTTGTTCCACCTTCACGCCGTAACTACTCAACCGATTGCTTTGAATTTTTGCAGACGTAAAGTTAGAAGTCCGGATTAAATAATAGGGTAATTTTTAACCCGGAAAAAATTGATATTCCCGAGGAAAAACAAAAGTATTGGTATAGATGGCGCTGTATGTATTGGTATATGTCACATAGGCTACTTTTTATTATTTTGTGACGCGAGCGAAGCCGCGGGTAAAAGCTAGTAATACATACATATAACCATATATGAACAACGCATGTATTGTTTCAGTTCGCATCCCAGTTGGTGCAAAGGCTTCGTGGCTTTTGAAGTAGAAAGAGCAGATCAGGAGTTTCAATTTTCTTTGTGGAGAAGGGTCAGAAGAATGACTGACACACAAAATTTTGTAGATGGGGACGACCTGGGATCAGGTGCATCGTAAGTTAATTCCGATTTTGTTTCTTATTCCTTAGACATAACTCTCACATGTCGGAATACTCAAACGCTACTCAATTTTAAGTCGTTCTGTCTCCACAAATTCTTTGTAAAATGACAGAGATGGCACGATATTTAAGCACGACTTAAAATTGAGTAGCGTTTCAGTATTCCGGCAACAGTCATCTAAATACAAGTAGGTACCTCAAATGGACACATTACACCAAGACCATAGCGTTAAGCCTGTCACAGAATTAGCTATAAGATAATATGAATGGCTGTAACATTAATGTACATTAATCGCATTGCATCGCAAATTTCATATACTTGTCTTAATATGTTGGCACGCAGATTCTCTCGTTGTACAGACGCAGTTAAAATAACATTGTTCAAGGCGTATTGCACCTCACTGTACACGGGAAGTCTGTGGGTTAACTACACCCAGAGAGCGTACAATGCTCTGCGCATCCAGTATAATAATGCGTTCAGGGCACTGTTGCGGCTTCCACGTTTCTGTAGTGCGTCAGCAATGTTTGCTGATACACACACCGATGGATTCGCTGCTTTATGGCGCAAAAAGACTGCATCGCTCATCAGTCGCCTGCGTGGAAGTCGCCACAGTATCCTGACTGCTATAGTCGATAGACATGATTGTCCATTGATGCATAAATTAGTGCAGCGGACTAAGTCCCTGTTTACTATTGCATATAATATTGTATCTAAGTATAGTTATATATTGTGTTCTTTTTTTTATACTATTATTTTGATGGATCTCAGTTATCTGAATAAATAAATTTTATTATTATTATTTTATTATTAGAGTAACTCAAGAGCTACTAAACTAAAGCATTTATAACTTTTGAGATTTTTTTTTTATTTATTTACAGGGTTTTTTCACAACTCTTGAGATTCGATAAGTCTGAACAATGCCTTAATACCTAGTCCAGACACGTCTATTGATAAAAACCCGAAACGCATTAATACTTTTTGATAATAGCCTAAAAACAGGATGGCTCTGATTTTGTTTCGTGTAGTAGGTACATTTTTGTTGATGGAAAATCTGATATATAATTTCTATTTCAGTTTGGATGGTACACGTTACATTGATCTCAAACCTGAGAATACTGATGGCGAAACGATTTACGCAAAACCAGAAGATAATTTGTCAAGACTTAATAGTAATGATTCTAGCAATGATACCTCCGATACTTCTGCCTTGGCCGAGTGTGATAATTGTTCGATTATTCCACTTTCACGTTCTAAGGTAAGCTTTTTTAAGGGATTTTTTTTTTTTAAGGGGGTAAAATCATCGAAGGACTGCTCCCGCCTGGGTGAGGCGGAAGGGAGTGTCAGACTCTTACTGACTAAAAACCACCCCGTTCCTTCTCCTGCACGTCGAGCCGGAGCCCCGGTTACCCGTTAGGTTCTCCGCGACTCCGAATCGGCATCGGCCCTATTGGGCCCCATCTGTGGTGGTCTGATGGCTCTTTGAGGCGCGCGCGGAACGCGACGCGCCGTTTTTTAAGGGATAGATCGGCAAGCGAGCAAACAATCAACTGATGGTAAGCCATCGGCCCCGCCCATAAACACCCGCAGTAGCATCGAGACTTAAACCTTTTTTAAAAAGGAAAATCATCCAATGACTTCTCCCGCCTACGGTGAGGCGAGAGGGAGTGTCAAATTCTAATTGACTAAAAACCACCCCGTTCCTAACTTTGCGCCGAAGCCTCGATAACCCAGGGCCTTAACCTGCTATTACAATTGGACTGTAACGCAGATTTGTTAAAACCAAAATCAAACAAATAAATCGAGACGCATATCGTTCATTCAGCGAGTCTGTCAACCATAGATTAATTCGTTACGGGATCTAAGACAGTTATGACATACATGTCCCTGGTACGCGTCGGACTTCAGTGTTCCGGTGTTTTCATGGTTGTATCTACTGTAGAGGTGTGTAGGGAGGTTGTGGTGGGCTTGTCCCATAAAAAATATAGACAGTCAAGTTGTAATCAAATACTTAGTAATTTATTAATCCACTGTATGTTAAATAAGTATTTTCTTTTTTTTTCAGTCGTTCGCTGACTAAGTGCAGTACCTTCTCATCGGGAGGATATTGACATAACTTTTTGGAAATCTCAATTTTAAGTAAAAAATGTATTTTTGAAAAAAGCCCCCAGTCGTATTGGGGCGGAACCGCGGCGGTTTATTGAATAGAAAAACAAAACCCCATTTGGAATTCAGTTTCATTTTTCACAAAACCGCCGTGATTACGCTATGGTTATTGGACCCTTAAAATAGATAGACTGTACCTCTTCCTGCAATACATACATTCTATTTTATTTTATAATAGTTGGTAAGCAGATAAATTTACTATATCATACACATTTATGTATAAATTAAGAATTGTGCATTCCTAAGACGAAAAAAACCACAATTATTTTACCTAATCCTTATTTAAAGTTAGTATATTTCCTGTATTCACTAGTCAATTTAGTTTTTTAGTTTAATTTTAACCGCTTGTAATGATAAAATTGCAAAAAGTAAAAGATAAAAACATATAAAAGTTTTAGGTAATAATAATTGATTCGTTGAAACGTTAAATTAAAGACAAAAAATAAGACAAGTCGCATATTTTATTATTTACATATTAAGTATTGTATTTAATTTAAAAGCTAAAAAGTAAACGCCCACCTCTATTACCGACATGGAAATCATATCAATACCGTAGTGCTATTCTGAAAATGTAAACTCTTCTCGAAAAACAAATCGCAATAAAAATGTCACAATGCCAAAATCCAAAATGTCAATTTGCTCCCCTGGTATAATTCTACTCACTTCCGTCATCACTCTGTGGCGTTAGTGTCGAACCTACTTAGGCCTATTGTCTCAACATTATCCCCTTAAACCGCACCCGCACGTCACGTCCCGTGCACGCTTTTGTCAATTGACGATTGCAAGACGAATGCTTGCATATTGCGTAGAAACAATCTAAACAAATCCGCCTATTGTTATTTGTACTATTGTCAGAAAACGTTTAAAGTCACTGCGCATTTAGAAATGACGTTGCAAATTAACTTTCAGAATGGCACGGCTACTGAAAGATGTCTATCCCTCTAAACCCACCTATGTCTAACTATTCGGGGATTAACTCCCGAGTCCCCAAGCTGTCACCGGTGACCACTCTCCACCACCTACTCCATAATATACCTTATTTCCGACGTTTAGAGACTACTTTTGTTTTAAATAATGTTGTGGATTTTTATAATTGTGCAGTTATATGACTTACTGACTGACTGACAAACGGTGAAGGAAAATATTGTGGGGAAACCTGAGGGACAAGCACGAATAACTATCGCATTCGTATCGTAACAGTATCAAACGAGTTAAGCGTTCTGATTGGTTGGTTCACTTGAGCCGGCCAATCAGAGCGCCGAACGCGCTCGATACTATTACGTTACGAATGCGATAGTTATTCGTGCTTGGCCCTCTGAGCATATAATTTCTGAAACTTAGCTCGTTTAAGCAAATAAACTAACTCGTCTTTATATATTAGGATATAATATATATATTTATTTGATACATGTGATAGCCAGTGTAAAGCTCTTCTAAAAGAATTGTCTATGCATGCTTGTCAAATTGTAAAATTTTATTTTGTAAAATTGGAATATTCTGGTAAATTGGAAACTTTATAGATATACCTACTAGTTGTAAAATTGTAAACATTCCAATTTTACAGAACAAATGTATTTGACTGACAAATATCCCGATGATAACATTTTTTATCAGTATTAAATAAAATATAGAATGCAATTAATGAATTAAATATGATTTGTGTCATTTTCATTGTAACTAAATGAAATAATTCATTGTCATGCCTCGAATATTATAATAAGAATATTTATTAAATTTACGAAACTGAATGTGTGTTTTTTTTTCTAAACAATTCTACTCTCACTAGCTAAAAGAAAAGTCAATCGGCGTCACCCATGGACACCCGCAACGCTTGAGGCGTTAAAAGTGCGTTACCGGCCTTTTGGTGATTATAAATTTGAGGATTGTTAAGGATTCAAGGATTAGGGAGATTGGATTGGGAGGGGGGGATAATTGGGCCTCCGGTAACCTCACACACACGACGAAACACAACGCGAGCGTTGTTTCACGTCGGTTTTCTGTGTTCGTCAGTAACTTAACGATAGATGTAATTAAAACAATTTTACTTAATAAATTAATAACATTTTATTTAATAAATTATCATGTTCATTACTTAATTATAATAATCTCTTTGGGAACATTAAAATATTGGTCCATTGGTCCTTGGCGGCCATGCTTCGTGTATTCAGTACTAGTTAGTTTTCGAAAATAGGCCAGTACACGATTCTGGGACCGTTATGGTCGTACGTACGAACAACTTTCAATCCACCGAGCTGAAACAATATAAAGTATAAGTACATATTGAAATTAAATATTGTAGCTATGTTTGTAAGTTTACATAGGCGGATCTGAAGGCCTAGTTCGTCTTTCTGTCTTTCTATTTAGCTATAAAATTATTCGCCATTTGACTAAAATACCAGGGTAGTCCAAACTAGGCATAAAATTATCAATTTGTGGTTTCAGACATTTAAATATATCATAAACTAGCTTCTGCCCGCGGCTTCGTACGCGCAATCCTGTTTTTCCCGTTCTAATTCGTGATTTTCAGTAAAAAGTAAAATAAAAGTAAGTCTTGCATAAAATGTACCCTAGGTCCGTCTAAGCTTCCTCCCCACCAATTGTCATCCAAATCGATTAAACGCAGAGAGCGCCCTGGCCAAGCACCTCATAGTGGCCCCATATTTTTTGCACCGCTGTCACTCTAAGGGCACGCGTGTCTCGCGGCGCCCCTCGGTAACCTGGCGCCCTAGCCTTGCCCAGTTTGTCTTAGGGATAATACGACTCTGAATGACACAGGAGAACATGTCGTTTTTAAAAAGAAGGAAAATTAAGTCACCTTGTTAGGTTTCGCATTGGACCGTGATTGTACATAAATACGTGAGTCAGCATCGTCTTTTGGAGACAGTTCGTTTTTAATCTGGGCCGCATTGTCATCCTCCCTAGAAGAAAAAACATTGTTTTTGAAAAATGGATAATAAGATTAATCAGCCTTCACACAGAGTTTCTTTTTCCATGCTGCAGTTCGTACTAATCACTCAGTGCTTTCTCTCTGGCTTTGTGTCTGAAATGAACGTTTTATTTTTTTTCTATGGCGCAGGGCGGCAAACGAGCAGACGGTTCGCCTGATGGTAAGCAATCGGCGCCGCCCATTCTCACATAACACCAGAAATTACAAGTGCATTGAGGATAGCGAATTGGGATTGGAAATTGAGGATAGGTCATTTGAACTGGTACGATTTGAATAATTATTTATGTGTTGGAGGCAATAAAACATCACGCTATCCTTTAATGAGTGGCGACATCTAGTGAACGAAATCAAAGAAAGTCACGATCCTCAGCAGTGAGGAAATCGACTAAGAAGAATAAGATAGTCAATTGGAGCTGTGCGGCGAGTGCAACCAGCGGGAGTAACTAGCTAATAAATGTAATGAACCAACATGCAAGATCCGGCGAGACAGGCTCCGTCCTGTGGCTGTTTGATATCATTGTGTTCATTTGTCTCCGACTTATTGTGGTCCCAAAAATCTCTTTTCACTTGCTCATCCGGGTTGACGACCAGGATCCTGTAACTCTGAACTTTCGGGGAACAGCTGCTGCAATAGGAATACTTTGTTAAATACAAATAATCGTCATCAACATCAACAGCCTATAAGTGGCCACTGCTGACCAGAGTCCTCTTCCCGCACCGATATGGTTTGAGCCTTAATCACCACGCTTGCTCAATGCGAGTTAGCGATTTCAAAATTATAATTAAAAATTATAAGCCCAGGTTTTCTCACGATGTTTTCTTGACCGTTTGTCAGTGGTGTCTAAATAATCTTAGAAAGTACTATGTAACTCAGAAAAAAGCACATTGGTACTTGTCGTTGGTAAGTTACGGACCCGCACTCTCATGCATGAGAAGCGGACGTCTTAAACCTCCGGGCCACCGCGACATTATTGTTATCTTTTTTAATTATTTTTTTTATGGGACAAGCCCGCCACTGCCTCCCAAAACCGCTGCAACTCCTGTAAGCCAGGATTTACAGTAGATACAACCATGAAAACACCGGAACACTGAAGCCCGGCGCGTCCCAGGGACATAAGTAACTGTCTTGGTTCCCGCAAAAAAGTAAACCGGAAGATATTATAAGAGGAGAAGAAGAAATAACTATGGTTTCCACTTCCCTCGGTGAATTACTGCAGGAGACAGAATGAATTAAGCCTAAAGGCACCAAGAAGAGACTGTACAACTAGGTGAAGCCCAGTCGCCAAGCACCACGGAAATTTGACTAAAAACTAAGTGGGTCCTATGTGTGAGCTGTACTGTGATACTTGCTTCCAATAATAGGTATGGCAAAAACGCCTAAACGCGCGGAAATTCGTTCTAGATTCCACAAGGACCGTATAATAAGCTGACGAAACAATTAAATTATTCAACATAGTGTTACGTTCATATTTCCAGAGATCACACTCCCAGAGTATGTGATGGGCCGACTGCTCGTATTGCAACTCCTCTGTCGAACATTGGCACCATGGTGAATTAATAAGTTTAAATGTATATAAAATATGAAAAGCAAATAATAAGGTAACTTACATGAATAGAACGGAGATTACAACGATGGTGTTGAAAATAAGTTTATTTGAAGACATTTTGGTGTTTCCTAATCGAGGCTTAGACCCTTAATGTTGGGAATTAAGAGTCCTCTGCTATTTATACTCGTCTGTCCTATATAAATGCTAATCTCCAACGACCGAATCATTATTATTTATTAAAAATTAAATGTTAGATAATTCGTTCGTCACTCCCGATTCCCAAATATATTAATACTTATTTAGTCACTCGACTTTGACTGTCAGAAAACCGGTATTAAAATGACATTGTGGTTTTCACAGACGTACAGATCAGGCATTGATTCAAGGAATTGCACAACTTGATTCGCCCTAGTCCTTTCCATCACCGTACCACAAGACAATCGGCAAAGCGTCACCGATTCATCTATAGATGTCCTACCACGCACGAAGCGCTTCGCATCAAGCTTCCTTGTGTGTACTGCTAAGGAGTGGAATTCTTTGCTAGTCAGTGTTTCCTGAAGTCTTAAGGCCCGCATAAATAGGTTGCTTATGGGCCGACGTGCTCCATCGTAGACCGCATCATCGCTTACCAACAGGCGAGATAGTGGGCAACCGTCGGCCCATCAAATATAAAAAAAACTTTAACAGCTACCAGAGACATTTTTTAACCTTCTAAAAGAAAATAAAGAGCATTTAAAACCCCCCAAGCCTACTAATTTCCAAATTCATCCTTATAGCTTAGAGGGTCATATTATAACTGTTGAAAGACGACTTTCCATTAAGTGACACCTAACAGTACAAGTAAGGGGTTTGTTTAACCATCATATAGATAGGCAGGTCACAACTGTGTGCTTCTCACGTAGCTTTCTGCCTCGCACAGCAAAACTGTAGAATGATCTGTCGTCGACGGTATTTCCAAACCAATAAAACCTTCAAACCTTCAAGAAAAGAGCGTACTCCTTTTTAAAAGGCCGGCAACGCACCTGTGTTGCGGGTGTCCATGGGCGGCGCTAATCGCTTACCATCAGGTGATCCGTCTGCTCGTTTGCCTCCTATTTCATAAAAAAGTGCTATATCACACTAAGTAAGTTTTGGTACCGAGAATAGTTTAATTTTATACGTTAAAAAAACAGACAAGTAAGAAAACTTGTGAAAATAAGTAATGAAAATATATTCAGTTCAATGAGAATTGGTTACATATATTTTCTAAGATCATTTAGACTGACAAACGGTGAAGGTAAACATCGAGTGGAAACCTGGGCTATATTTCTAATTATAAGTTTGAAATCGCCAACTCAAATTGAGTAAGCGAGGTGATTAATGTTCAAACCTTCTCCGTGTGAAAAGAGGCTTTGCTCAGCAGTTTGGATATAGGCTGTTGATGATGATTATATACGATATACGTTCCATAGTTTTTGCAAACCGCCATGGGAGACAGGCGTGAGGTTAGGTTAGGTTAGATTCAACAGGAATTATCATTCCATTCCACCATACTCACTGACTCCATGGTCAGGTGAAAACCTCTGACAAAGATGTGACCACTCAATGGACAGAAATCAACTCTAGAATGAAAAATATGAGGCAAAGATTCAAGAACAGCGTCGAGGTATTATCGCATAATTAACTAGTTTCCTATTTCCTAGGTTTAAAATAAATTGTTTCAACATTTCAATGCAATAAATAATAAAAAAATAATCATAGTCTCATCCATTAATTTGACAATTTACCTACTTTTGGAATGAATGAATGAATGAATGAATGAATGAATGAATGTCCTTTATTTCTCAGTACATGGTGCACACAGATCTTAAAATTACCAGAGTTCCACACATTATTATTATTATTATTGGAAACAATTCAAATACATTAAAACAGATAAAGTCAGAAAATAAATTAGAGATGTCATAAAATTAAGATGTCATTATGTATCAGTAGTCAAATTGTAATATACTAAAAAGTCAATAAATTAATAGTCACAACAAATCAGGAAGTCAGGTTAGCAATTTATAATTAATTTTGGTCAAAAAACATGGAGGCAACTGATTAGCACGATGATACAATGATTTAAAAAGCTGCATACCGACAGCTACTGTTACTTAGGAAATCTCGGGTAGAATAAAAAACTCCTGAACCAACCACTTTTGTAAGGCACGACAAAACGGTTTATATGGCAGCTCGCTAATTCCTCGGGGCAGACAGTTAAATATGAGCGGCGCCATATGCACAACTTTTTCTGTAAAGCTCCAGTTTAGGTATGGGCATTTCAGGGGCAGCTGAGTGATCAAGCGTCTGTTAGCATTATCGTTAGCAACGAGCAAATAACTATGATATTTCACAAACTTAGCCACTTCGTAAATATAAATGCTAGGAACAGTCAACAGTCCTTTAGATTTAAATACGGGTTTGCAAGAATCCGACCATCCCATGCCAAACAATGCACGAACGCACTTTTTTTGGGCCACAAAGACCCTAGTAATTTCAGAGGAGTTTCCCCATATGACGATACCATAACGTATTATGGAACAAATATATGCATGATACACCATAATGGAACTTTGAATTGATGTTACGTCTTTTATTTTCCGAAGTGCAAAGACAAACTTGTTAATTTTCTTGCATAAGTTGTTAATATGTTCCTTCCACGTGAAATGAGAGTCAAGAGTTACACCCAAAAATTTGGCATTATGAATCTGCTGAATAAGCGTATTATTATAACTTAAATTTAGTTCGATAGTTTTGCTTTTAAATGTTTTAAAATTAATAATTTTAGTTTTTTCTATGTTTATTTTTAATTTGTTGATACTAAGCCACCTAATAACATCATCTAATGTTTTATTTTTGTCAGCTTCATATGTAGCCCTATTTTTGCAATCCAAAATAATTGTTGTGTCGTCCGCAAATAAGACACAATCGTGTATAAGCGCACGTGGGAGATCATTGACAAAGATAAGGAATAACAAAGGCCCCAAATACTACCTTGAGGTACACCAAAATAGTTGACTCTTGCTTGAGAATCGAATTTTACTACGCTATTACTTTTTTTGTCAAATTTAGTTATTCTAGTAAGCTGTTTTCTATTTTGCAAATATGATCGAAACCATGACAGTGATGAACCTCTAATTCCACAATTAGCTAATTTTGAAAGGAGTAAAGAATGATCTACAAAGTCAAATGCTTTACTCAAATCTAATAGTAAGGTGGATGTGGGAATTCCATTGTTAATATTGTTAATAATGCTGTTTACTAATGTGTAGGTGGCCAACTGTGTAGATCTGCATCTTCTGAAACCAAACTGTTCCTTTGCTAAAATGTCATATTTATCCAAGAAATTTAAGACTCTTTTGTACATAATCCGTTTAAATACCTTGGATATAACAGGGGTAAGTGCAATAGGTCTGTAATTGTTTCTATCGAGCTTTGATCCTTTTTTGTGTAGCGGTTTTATTATTGCCAATTTTAGTTTCTCTGGAAAACATCCCTGTTCTAGGGAAAGATTAATTATATGTGCCAACGGTTCAGCTATAGACCTAGCCACAGTTTTCAACAAGATTGAATTAATATCGTCATAGCCTGCGGACTTAGAATTCTTCAAAGAATTAATTGTATTAAAAACTTCATTTGGATTCGTGGGACTTAAAAAATACTATTTGGATTTGTTTCAACATTATATATATAGGGTTCCTTGCTAGTTTGTGTATTCTTATGCACTATATCTATAAAAAAATCATTAAATGAATTGGCTATGTCCGACCCAGTAGATGCCAGACTATCACCATCGATAATGTTCTCGATACATTCACCACTACAATCATTATCACCTACATAACGTTTAACTATTTCCCATGCAGCTTTGCCTTTATTTTTAGAATTAGCAATGTACTTAAGATTGCTAAGAGTCTGAAAGCTAGTGATACACCTCCTCAGTAATTTCGAGTATTTTAAATAAGATTTTTTATTTATTTTGTTTTTATTTAAGTAATAGTTATAACGTAAGATTCGTTTATTAACTAACTAATTTTTAACCCTTTTGATATGTAGGTTAATTTGCCACGTCTGAAACTCTTTTTTACTTTAATCAATGGGAAACAAAGCTTATAAAACAATGTCAACTCCCTGTGAAATGCATCGAAAGCTTCGCCTGTATTTTTTGCGGGAACCAAGACAGTTGTTTATGTCCCTGGGACGCACCGGACTTCAGTGTTCCGGTGTTTTCATGTTGTATCTACTGTGGATCCTGGCTTACAAGAGTTGCAGCAGTTTTGGGAGGAAAAAAAGCTTGGGTTTAAAACATACAAGGGTTTCCCACTTTTCCTGCCATATCAATGAGCTAATACTTTAAAGTTAATTTACTTTAGTTTTGTATGCTTCTCTCTTGGATTTTACATTATTGTTATGCATAGGTTACGACTTAGGAAAGAACGAAACGCCAGCGTTTTAAGGTTCTTTCTTTCTAAAGACAGAAGACTTAGTGAACTAGGTTATGTTAACTTTTCTACGTCATGGTATTCAATAATTTTGTCAAAGTAGGTAGGTATGTTTGTATTTGTGAGTTTGATTTTGACCAAATAGGTATCAAATAAATAAAATAAATAAATATTAATTAAAGACTCATTTATTTAATTAGTTATCACACATACAATTATTTTTTACATCCGAAGATATCTAAAACAATCATTTATAATAGTTATTTACATACATAAACATATTATTTTAATGTCTTTTGCTATCAAAGCTCAGATTTATTATTTATAACCTCAAATTAAGTTGAAGCTGTTCGAACAATTTCCCGCCAATTTCAAATCAAAGATGGCGGACAGCTGTCAAAAACTATAATAGCGAAAGTATTTTTTTAATTTGCTTTTTTAAATAAGAAGTGTTCCACGAAATCCATTGTTGCTGGCTGCCATTGGTCTAGTAGGTATTTCATCGATTGTTCATGCTTAGTGCTTCTTGTGGGACCTGAGAAAAATAACATAAAGTTAATGTCATTGTTTTGTAAGCTTGTTTAATTTATTTAATATTAAAATATTTACTTGAATTTGGGTGAGAAACGCCTCCTCCTGACTTCGTTGTTTTCGGGGGCGGCCTGGAAAAAGACAAACAATTTTAATGGTTTGAAAATACTAAAATGGGACACATATGATGGTGCGATGGGAGATCATCAACAACGATTTTACAATTGGTCTTAATTTATAAGGTTTTCTGTAATATTTACCTCAACTGCGGCAGATTTAGAGGGTCCGTATTCCCTGAAACCGGGGGGTCCGTATTCAAGGAAACCTTCAGGGGCCTGTTGCAGGGATCTGTGAGCAAAAGTAGTTTGATTTCTTGAAGTTTGTAGTACTGATTTTACTAGTGAGCTTATCATACAATTACGTTTATTTTTGAATGATATTGAGCTTATGGTTAAAAAAAAGAGAAAGAAATGCTTACCCTGAAACCTCCTGTTTGATTTCCACAGCAGATTCAACAGCCTGCAAAACAAGCATTCAAATAAATTATAATATTCCTTATCATTTACATAACATAACATCACGACTTTTATATGTAGGCAGAGGAGCACATTATGGCATTTAATGCCACTGTACAATGTAACACCCACTTTTCACTATTTATGTAATAGGGGGTGAACCTATTGCCATATACCAGGCACAATTCTAGACTCCATGCTATTACTGAGAATTTATAAAAACCCAGTAATTCTTTGCCCGACCCGGGAATCGAATCCGAGACCCCTTGCCCGGCAGTCGCACTTGCGACCACTCGCCCAACGAGGCACTCTTATCATTTACTACAAGTTAACCCTTTGAGTAACGTCATTATTAAACAAGAATATTTTATATCACAATTACCTCAGCAGCTTTAGCCTCAGTCTCAAGCTTTACAATAGCTTCAGCGATGTTGTTCACACCTTCAGCAACTTTCTCAACAACTACTTGTTCAAAAACAGCGGTGGGAACAGCCTCCTCGACTACCACAGTAGGGACAACCTCCTCAGCTACTACCTCTTCTTGGACAGCGGCAGTTGGTTCCACAATTTCAGCCAGAGCTGCTTCCGTGGCTTCCACAGCTTGGGCAGCTTCGGTTTGCTCAACAACTTCAGCTACGGCCTCCAAAGTAGGCTGGACTTCAGCAATGACCTCAGCTTGTTCAATTTTCTCGGCCACAGCTTCAGCAGTTGATGCTACTTCTTCTACGATAGCGGCAGATTCTGTGTTAACTGTAAAATAGTATTGAGTTTGTTTATTTTGGTAATTGATAGATAATATTGCTCTATGTTTTATATTGTACTAGTTTTTACACGCGGCTTCGCTCGCGTCACAAAAGGATAAAAATAGCCTATGTGACATATACCAATACACACAGCGTCATCTATACCAATACTTTTGTTTTTCCTCGAGAATATCATTTTTTTCCGGGATAAAAAGTACCCTATTATATAATCCGGACTTCTAACTTTACGTCTGCAAAAATTCAAAGCAATCGGTTTAGTAGTTACGGCGTGAAGGTGGAACAAACAAACAAACTCACTTTCAGATTTATAATATTAGTAAGGATATGCAGAGTTATAGAAATAGATATTTGCTATCTCTGCTGTCTCTTAATCGTGCGTTTACGTCTCTTTGATGGTTGCTAGGCGATAATGGAGGTACATAATGCTCTGAACCTAAGAAACTTTCTAAAACGCGAGAAGCTGTTTCTTAAGTAGTCATGTTGTTCAGTTTACTTTTTATCGACTTTACTTTACTTTACTTACCTACATTTTTGGTTTTGGACTTTTGCATCTACTGATAAACTAATCCTTACCTTCGACGGCAACGGTTTCACCAGCTCCAGCCTGCAGTTCCTGGGTAGCCAGAGATTGTACAAAGAAGGTCTGTTGGGTAGCCTCATCAGGAAGACCTTGGTTCACGCTGTACTGGACCACGGCTTCGACTTTCGGGGGTCCATATTCCCTGAGAGCATCTGAAGCGGAGGCCTCGGTTTCTTGGAGAAGGTTTTCCTTCACTGGACCTTCTGATGGTTTCTGTAAAAGTGGGATTATGATTTTAAAGGAAAGAGATGAATTTGATGGCAAACATTTATTTTGTCACGAAGAGAACTAATTTTTAGTAAAAGCTGAGGAAAGCTTTTTGTTTACATTTAATAGTTTTTAATGACTTGTACTGATATTCAAATACAATTAAATGAGAAATCATATTGAAAACCTTGTAATAATATGACACTTACCGCGACTTCCGAAGGTAGGTAGAAACTGGGACCAGAAGGCCTCCATCCACTAGGTAGGTAGGGTCCAGAGCCCAAAGCTGACACGGAGCCGATGGCGAAAATAATAGCAACGATGACCTGAATGAAGAAATACAAGATGAAATGAAATATTACACAATTTAACTAAGGAATGCAATAAATTGTGATGGTAAATTAAGTAGGTTAGTAGAAATGGTTGAATGTAAATCGCTTTCAAGTTTCCGACCGGGAAAACTGGATGTTATTAGGAGGTCTATCATTAGCATTGGACGTTTTATAGCTGGCATGATGCTGAAGAACAAATGATTATTCAAATTAATTTATTTTAAGTAATTGCTTTATACTTAAAAATGTATTGAATGACTTAATTATGTTAAGACAAACAAGCTATAGATGAAGCAGAAACGAGATGAATATTTAAGTTATTGATAGACAACAAAATCACTTGATTAAAATAACAAATGCAGGGAATATAATCAGAGCGGAACGACTTGACGAAAAAAAATGAAAGGAAGAATTTAATATAATATTAAAGGGATTGTTACCTTCATGTTGTATGAGATCTAAAGAACTGATTCTTCGAATGATGCTCCTTGCTCAGTCAACCCAGTTTTTATACGAAAATAAATCAAACAATAGTCCAAAAAGCCTTGATCAATATTTAGTCCAAATATTTACTGAACACCGTTTAATTGAGCTATGGTTGTGCAATTTTTAATGTGGATTAATTGTTCGAATTAACTGATGAAGGTCAAGATTTTGTTGTCTAAGTAGGGTAGGTAGAATGGTAGTATTGTTGGCTTATTTCAATAGATCACTTGGTGAAGACTAAAGGGGATTTTCGTTGGTGTTTTTAATTAGTGTAAGATAACTAGGTATGTACAGAAATAGTGTTCTAATTGTTTTTAATCTTGTGAGTGTAAATTTTCTAAGAATATGTGTGCAACTTTAACAATATTGTACGTTATAAAGAATAGACTGCCTCGTTGGCCGAATGGTCGCAAGTGCGACTGCCGGGCAAGGGGTCTCGGGATCGATTCCCGGATCGGGCAAAGTATTACTGGGTTTTTTAAAAAATCTCAGTAACAGCACGGAGCCTGGAAATGTGCCCGGTATATGGCTATAGGCTCACCCCCTATTAAATGGGACTCACAACATAAATAGTGAAAAGTGGGTATTACATTGTATAGTGGCATTAAGTGCCGTAACGTGCAACTCTACCTGCCTACCCTTTCGTGGATAAAAGGCGTGATGTTATTTTTTTCTTATCTTCTAGCTTTTTCTCACACAAATTTTGTCGCATTGTGTCTTAACCGAATTTGACTAAATTTCCATAACATAACATCACGCCTTTTATCCCCGAAGGGGTAGGCAGAAGTGCACATTATACCACAGACTGTACAATGTAACACCCACTTTTCACTATTTATGTTATGAGTCCCATGTAATAGGGGGTGAGCCTTTTGCCATATACCGGGCACAATTCCAGACTCTGGCTACTACTGAGAATATTTAAAAACTCAGTAATACTAAATTTCCGTTGTTTAAATTAAATCCGTTGTTTTAATTGTTAATGATAGATTATAAAGACTTATATACTAAACGTTTTTTGTATCAACTGAGATACGACAGCTATTTAAACGTGAATAAGTTTTAAGATTGGATCAAGGTCAAAAACAATATCATTGGTTTCAATTAGACCAGGAATGCATTTTTAATGTTAAAACAACAAAAAAACTAAATATAAAAATGTCAGTTTGTCAGTCAGACAGAGCTCAGGTGAAGCTATTTGCTCGTTCCAAAGTGTAGATTCTTAAAGAGAAGAACAAGCAAGAAACTACATCCTTACTTAATATTATAAATCGAAAAGTGAGTTTGTTTGTTCCGCTTTCACGCCGTAACCACTTAACCAATTGCTTTGAATTTTTGCAGACGTAAAGTTAGAAGTCTGGATTAAATAATAGGGTACTTTTTATCCTGGAAATATTTGATATTCTCGAGGAAAAACGAAATTATTGGTATAGATGGCGCTGTGTGTATTGGTATATGTCACATAGGCTACTTTTTATCCTTTTTTGACGCGTGCGAAGCCGCGGGTAAAAGCTAGTATAAAATAAATAAAATAAAATAGACGTTTATTCAGATCTAACTAATAACTGTTACATAACTTAAAATTGCCTAAGATTTACATTACTTAGGTCTAGTATCTATAAAATATCTATTACTTATTTTTTGGAGATCTGTTTGCCGGTCGGCAAAGGCCTCCTTCAACCTTTTCCATTCATTTCGTTCTTGAGCTACTCTGTGCCATGTAACTCCTGCCACCTGCCTGAGGTCATCATCCCATCTTTTAAGAGGTCTACCCCTTTTCTTGGTTCCTTCCCTGGGGTACCAACTGGTTACGATCGTAAGAAATTAAAAAAAAAAAACATTGCCCCACACTAGGATTTTCCCCCGTGTCGTGGGTGCGTTTACAAACATACAAGTTCACATACACATGACACCCAGACCCGAAACAACAATTTGTGGATCACACAAAGTGTTGTTCCGTGCGGGAACACGTTGCACGGCAGCCGGTTGCCCAGCCACCGCACCAACCGTGCGGTCATTTACATAGTTACTCTATAATAAAATAAGAGTTATCGTTAAGGAGAGATAGACTCTGTGTCCTGAAAGGTATACCCTGAGTGTCTTCAAGGCAAGAGTGAATAGGTTGCTCCTAGGCAGACGTCATTCGCAGTCATTCGTAGGCCGCATCGCTTACTGCCAGGCGAGATAGCATCCAACCGCTGTGTACTGACCGACTGTTCTGAAGTTAACATAAAAAGAATAAGATTTGGGTTTAAAGAATTTACTAGCTTTTACCCGCGGCTTCGCTCGCGTCACAAAAGAATAAAAAGTAGCCTATGTGACATATACCAATACACACAGCGACATCTATACCAATAATTTCGTTTTCCCTCGAGAATATCAACTTTTTCCGGGTTAAAAAGCACCCTATTATTTAATCCGGACTTCTAACTTTACGTCTGCAAAAATTCAAAGCAATCGGTTGAGTAGTTACGGCGTGAAGGTGGAACAAACAAACAAACTCACTTTCAGATTTATAATATTATAAGTAAGGATTTCTCATAAGAACAGATACATTGTTCACTTAAAATGAGATACAGAGGTTCCTTATCTTCTATGATATGACAAAATCCTCTAGTGCGGTAAGAGGTTACATTCATTTTATTTTAACGAGATTTACAATGTTTGTACATGTCCCTTAAGTTTAGTTTTGAATGCCTTAGGTCCCTTTTTACCAACGAAACTGATCACGATTACACCTAACAAAACTGATTTAAAGCGTCTAATCGAATTTAAAGCGTTTAAACGAAGTTACAGCTTCATTTTACATTTCACCGCTACAAACAGAAACTAGTTTACACGGAACTCAGTACAGAAAACACAGAACACAGAACTTAGGTTACTTTAAACTTAGGTTACGTGTAACTGAGTTTTTACAGAGCTTGGTGAAAAGGGACCTTAATGTTATCGCAGTTTTTTATGTCATTTGGTAATCTATTGAATTTATCTTCATTATCATCATCAACAGCCTATAAATGCCCACTGCTGAGCAAAGCCTCTTCTCACACGGAGAAGGTTTGAGCATTAATCACCACGCTTGCTCAATGCGGGTTGGCGATTACAATTTTATATTGTCTTACTGAAATTCTATTTTCTGAAATTAGTAATGTCAGCGTCTAAAACTGTCGCAGAATACTTAACGGGTTGTCGGAGCTCCGTCTCTTAGAGCAGGAGAAGGAACGGGGTGGTTTTTAGTCAGTAAGAGTCTGACACCTCTCACCTCACCCAGGCGGGAGCAGTCATTCGATGATATTCCCCCTTAAAATAAGAGTCTAAAATTGTATATGATGATTTGATAGTATGGTGTTCGCTTACATTAGGTTTGCGACTCTTAAATAACCATCACGCCTTTTTATCTCCGAAAGGGTAAGCAGAGGTGCAAATTACGGCACTCAATGCCACTGTACAATGTAACCCCCACTTTCACTATTTATGTTATGAGTCCCATGTAATAGGGGGTGAGCCTATTGCCATACACTGGGCACAATTCCAGACTCCGTGCTACTACTGAGTTTTTTTTTAAATCCAGTAGGTAATACTTTGCCCGAATCGAATACGAAATCCATTGCCCTGTAGTCGCACTTGCGACCATTCGGCCAACGAGGCAGTCTACTCAGCATTTATAAAGAAATGAAAAAAAAAAAAAATGCTAGTGGCGTCGTTTCTTGGCTTCTAAGTGTAGTTAATCACGGAAATGTAATAAAAGAATAAGTAGGTACCTAAATAGAAATACCTTCTTATGGCTCAAGGTCAGAATTCGGTTCCGCACTGCTAATTGCTGTGGACATAGTGAACTATTTACTCTGCGACCAACGAGTTCATTTTGTGACGTCATTGTATAAAAACACAAGTGTACTTATACGTCTATATAGATAAGTATTTCATTATTGTAGGTACTGCAAAACGAGATTGTGCTATTATCTAACTAAGTTCTCTAGACACACACACAATTATAGGTATCACTAAATTCAAATTCAAATCACTTTAATGCATCTATAGTGTGTACAGGGTTGTTTACAATTTTTGACAGAATATGTTCCAACTGTAGGCCCATTTGGGCACCGCAAAAGTACTTACTCTACTTACATAAACTAGGTTAAGTCTAGGGCCTTTAGCCATACGCCACTTTAGCGCTTGTCTACAGAGAGAGTAGAAATCAAAATGTATGGGGATGACACTGACAAGTGTCAAAATTTACGTCAATCTCATATAATTTGGTTTTCTATTCTACATGTAGACAAACGCTAAATGGTATTTCACCCCCTTTCCCAATTCCTAATTCCTCAACAATCCTCAAATTCCTAATCCCAAAAGGCCGGTAACGCACTTGTATCAGGTGTTCCTCTGGTAATCAGGTGTTCCTCTGGTGTTCCAGGTGTCCATGGGTGACGCCGATTGCTTACCATCAGGTGATCCGTCAGATCGTTTACCGGCTTATTCCATAAAAATATGGAGTCGCACTTAGTAAGGTAAAA